GGCAGGAACCCCACACCCACATCCTATTCGTAACACTTTTCGCCATCAACACGCGCCGCACGCGGAGACGCAATGCATCGCCAGCTGAATTGTTGTACGGAGTTCTGCCCAGGGGGCCAATGGAAATCAATGTGCTGGCTGAGTGTGACATAGCGCTATCACCGCCAGAGGAGGGCGAGAACACTGATAGGGACAATGCTGCGAGATTGGCGAAGTTGGAGCAGCTGCGCCAACAACACGTGTTGCAGCGGCAGGAGGTTGCACGTGCTTGGGAGCATAAGGACACGACCAGCCTGCAGCCGGGAGATCCTGTGCTTTATTGGGTGGAGAAGAGGGCCCACAAGCTAGCACCACGATGGGCTGGACCTGCCACCGTCAAGTGGGTAGGCGCCAAAGGAGCGATTGGAGTGAAGGTGCCGGGAAAAGGACGCACGAAGGTTTTTGCGGGACACCACGTCAAATTGTGCACCGCGGATCCAAAGACCAGAGCGCCAGTGGCCGGAAAGCGTGGAATCAAGCGTCAAGCTGGATTCGGAGCAGCTCCAAAGGATGACGGAGTGGGTAGCGGTCGCCCACCAACAAGGCGGCCAAGAAGGTGAAGGTTCGGAGGTGAAGGTGCATCAGAGCCGGGGAGCATTTTGCCATTGAGCGATGGAAAGAATGGCAGCATCTATCTATGATCCGTTCGAGTGGAATGGGGGCAGTGGCCGATGATCGATTTTTGCTCGCGCCGGGGACGTCGCGACTTGCACCGATAGTGCTGTGGGGAGTGGGGTTGTACGTATGATAGGGGAGCCAGTTAAGGGGAATTGGCTGTAGTGAATGAACGGGGACGGCTTTGGGATTGGATCATAGTTGGGGATGGCGGCGGGAATAGGAGCTGAGGAAGTGTGGGAGTGAGGGAGAGTGGGAGTGGGTAGTGTACGCGGGTAGCTGCTGGGCTAGTTGGCAATGGATCATAGTTGGTCTGGGCGGCTGTAATAGAAACTTGGCATGAGAAATGGACACGAACCCGGCCAGCTCGTGAAAGTGGCCAGAGTGGTTATTCTGGAGACAACAACTCATGAACTGTCACACCATCGCACTATAAATACCACTCGCTTCGTTTGTAATGATGGGTTCGGATCGTGAGTGACAGACGTGTCTTCCCCGCGCGTGGCCGTCGTGAATGCCTCCCGTACCCACGGGGTCGCCGCAGCCCAAAGGCTCATTGCGCAATTGAGCCGCCCAAAGGCCGACACCGGCCACAACTCGTCTAACGGACAAGTGGTCTAAGGACATTACGTCTAATGGACAACTTGTCTAAAATTCCGTTGACCTGAATTGACTTGCTCATATCCGCATCGCACCTACAGCCGGTGACCTGAGGGCACTCACCTGTTCAACACATCCCCCTAAACCCCAAAACTAACTCACATCCGCATTCCAGCTCACGCCGGTGACCCGAGGGCCCTCACCCGTTGACCGCATTCCCCTAAACCCAATAACCACTTCACTCACATCCGCATTCCAGCTGAAGCCGGTGACCCAAGGGCCCTCACCCGTTCAGCGCATTCCCCTAAACCCCAAAACCAACTCACTCGAATCCGCATTCCAGCTCAAGCTCTTGACCCGGGGTCCTTTCCCATTCAGTGCATTCCCCTAAACTCAAGAACCAACTCACATCCGCATTCCAGCTGAAGCTGGTGCACCGAAAAGGTATGTTATACTAAATGTATACAAAAAGTATGTTCTTGTGGCAATAAAACCAAAACGATTGTTTGCGCATTGCGGTTCAGCTCTTTGTCCGCGAATCAATTCCCATTGTGGACTGTGGTCGCGTTGGCCTGCCTCTCCCGTCGAGCCACCTTCTTGCCTCGGAGGACCCGCTTGCTCCCTTGCTGCCAATCGGCGCTGCCATTCGGTTGCCTCTCCCCTCGATCCACCTTCGCGTCTTGGAGAATCTCCATGCTCCATATCTGCCAGTCGACTCTCCCTTTCGCCACCCGCTCCCATCGATCTATTTTCGCACCTTGGAGGATCCGCTGGCTCCATCGCTGCCAATCGGCGCTGACGTCCGGCCACCTCTCCCGTCGATCCACCTCCGCGCCCTGTAGAATCTCCGCTTTCCATAGCTGCCAATCGACGCCCCACACTGCGCCAAACCGCGCCACACCCGACAGCCATGTGCTTGGACTGGCACTCACCCGCCCGTGCTGTCCCGCCCCCTGTGCGCGTGCCAGGAATGCGCCCAGGAACCAGTTCGGATTGCAGCCCGCCATAAATGGAATGAAATGTAATTGTAGGTTAAATGCACTTGATGGGCGCTGCTTAGACAAGTTGTTTCAACTCGTCTAAAGACAACCCGTCTAACGCAAAGACAGAGACAACGTTGCAATTGACTTCACCATAGGGCACTTGAACACACGCAACGACTTGGAAACGAGTGGTATTCATAACAAAGAAGTTTGTGTCATTGGTACACAACCAACCCGTGGCCGCGTTTAGGGTGGATCACTCGTTAGACGAGTTGTCCTTAGACCAAATGTCCTTAGACCACTTGTCCGTTAGACAAGTTGCCTTTAGACGAATGGGCCGGACACCGGCCGAAAGCCGGGGAGGGTTCCCACAAAAATGTAAAACACATATAAAGAATGTGTCAATTTACTTGAAAAAGCACAAATCGAACTAAATAAAAACACTGCAAACAGTTAAAACAGATAATAAATGAATACGTTTAAATAAATAAATTTGAAAAATGTTGTAAATTTGAGTAAAAATTGCCTAAAGTGTTCCAGAAAATGGGCAAACGGGCAAAGACGGGCGAATTGATAGTGTCGGGCCCTGGGCCGACGTGTTGCCTTTACAAAGGGTCGGCCGCGCCGACCCCGCAGGCGCGTCCTCCGCCCAGCCTCTCCGCCCGGCGCCGCGGACGCGCCCCCCGGCCCGACGGCCGCCACCACCGGCCCCGCCGATCGCCCTCCCCGCCCCCGCCGCTCGGGATCGCCGCGCCGGCGATGGGCGACGCGGCAGCGGGGGGCTGCTCCAGCTCGGAGGGGGATGAGGACCTGCACTCCAGCGCGGACGTGGATGAGGCGCCCTTCCCGTTCGAGGACAGCGACTGCGAGGCCGGCGGCTGGCGGCGCGGCGGTGGGCGGGGCGGTAACCCACGTGCCAACACGCTGGCGCCGCACCAGCTGGACAGGGCGCGGCTTCGCGACGTCCACCTCATAGCCCGGGTGAGCGGCCCAAAGAGGCATGATTTCGGCGGTCAGGATTTCGGCGCCGATCGGCGGGGAGCAGCTGTGCAGTTGTCGGGGCAGGGGAAAGGTAGTGTGGTTCATTGGCAGCAGGATGCTTGTTTGGGTCGCTTTGGGTCGGGGGCGGGGTGGAGGTGGGTGGGGTGGGGTGGGGAATCGCAGGATGGGGCGCGGGCCCCGTCGAGAGAGGCCGATCGGCGGCGGGGCGAGGGGTCGAAGGGGGGGATCCAAGGGAGGGGGTTGATTGCCCCAGCGGCGGGTGCGGGAGCTCGACGCCGTTCCAGGGCGTCCGTCGGATCCATCTGTCGCGGACGGTGGGCGCGTCTCAGGGATGCCGCGATGGCCGCAGGACGCCGGCGGGGGATTGGGAGGGGGCGCCTGTTTCGCTGATGGGGGCGAAACGGGTGAGCGACGCTGGGGGAGGCGTTTTGGGGCCCGGTGGGCCGTGGTGAGCGCCGGGGAGTGAAGGGAGGCGTGATTGCGCCACTTTATGGCCTCTCGCATCCTGCGGAAGCCTCAGTGCCCGCGGCGTTCTCAAACTTGGCCGCGGAGCCGGTCAGCCTGGCAGCGGCGCCCAGCGACGGATGCCCATGGGAGGGCCGGCCCCAAAGTAGTCCTAAGAACGGCCGTTGACGCTCTTCACAACGTCCCCGCCACTGCAGCTCTCGCCCCTCTGCTCTGAGCCGAAGCCCAGTGCCCATCACAGCAGCTGTGTTTGCCTTGTCAGCAAGCGACTGTGCATCTGTTCACCCTTGCCTCCTCCCAAGTGTTGAAGCGCTAGGGCCTGTCCCTGTTATGATTGACGTCGAACCACAACGCCGCACATACTCAGGGGGGCAGTGCTCTCCGCTTCCTCATTCTCAGTCTCCTATTCGGCCGCAGTGGGAGGAATGTCTTTGCTGCATGGGCCTCCGTTGCTTTCGCTGGTGGTGCAGATGACTTGATGCAACACCAACAACTGCCCACAACTCATCGGCAGTTTTTGACTTGTTATCATATGCTCTGCGGGTTCATGGGGCCGTGGGGTAGTTTCCTGTTGGGACGGTTTCTGTGTGTGGTTTTGCTGCGGCCTATCGGGAGGCACCCTGAGCAATGTACTGTGCGATGCTTCCATGGAGCTGTATGTCGGATTGTGGGGGCAGTTAAGTGACACATGGGCGACATGGCCATGACACATTCTGCTGGGTAATGTATTGCGGGTATAGCACAGGCGGTGACATGCACATTTTTGTTGTAACACCATGTGTAGGTAATTTCTTCATATGCTCTCCCAACCTGGGAAACAGTCTAACTTCTCAAATAGCTGAAAAAGTATTGGCCCCGGTGTACTTTTTGTTGAACTTTGCCTTTCGGTCATCTGACAGTTGTCTCCTTTTTCATGCAGGTTTGCGACATCGCAGAGGACACGGCCCATGAGCTGCTTGTCCGGCAGGGTTGGGACCACCAGAAGGTGCTGGAGCTCCACTGCCCTTTTCGGGGTGACTGCCGCCCGCCAGCTGCAGATACAGACTGCCCCGTGTGCCTGGAATCATGTGTCCTGCCAACCAGTGACAAGGCTCTGTCGTTCCACCTCTGTGGGCACCCAATGCACTGGGCCTGCGCAGGCCAGTATGCCAAGAACCAGGTGGACTCGGTGAGTGTGCAGTTGGGACCACCAAAATGGCTCTCACCTTGTCTTTGGTGGTGGTGACTCAGCCAGCGATGCACCAATGGGAACATTGACACCACTTGAGGCACTTTACACCTGCTCATCTCCCATGTCCTGATGCAGATTCCCATCAAGAATGTAGCCCAGAGTTGTTCTCTGTTAGCCGCAACTCGTTGGCAACCCTTTTATAGCTTCAAAACTGCAATGGGGGATTTTGGTCAATTTCAACAAGCGAATCAATTGACCAAGAAATCCAGAGAAACTGGTGGAGTTCACATTCAAGACTGATGGTGCTGTCCAAAGAATGTGCTCAGGCTCCTCGGGCTGCCTATCCTGCAAGTGTGGCTGGTAGGGGAGTCATGGACCTGAATAGAAGTACAATGCCCCAGATGAGTAGAGACTGTGTTTGAATGCAGATGGCAGGCATGGCTCAGGAAACATTCCTTGGGAGCATCACGTGCCCCTGGTGCATCGCGAACAAAGAGGACACGCCAGGATTCTTGACAGAATGTCAAGTGTGTGACTTGATTGGCCCCACAGAGTTCAAGACCTACAAGCAGGTATCTTCAGGGGCGCAGATGTTGCTGACCAGTGGTGATCACTGACTCTTGTACGATCTGCTGAATGTCATCAGTGGGTCCTTGACTTGCCAAAGCACAATATGGCATCGCTCTTCTGCACCAATGTAAGGTCGATGGACCAGGAAATCAACTGCAAACTGTGAAAATGCTTGTTTGGAACATGCTGCAACTTGGATTGTGGGGATATGATTGTTCATGCTGCTGTTTCTCATGGTTGACTTCTGATGGCTCGGTTGGCTGGCATGCTGCAGGTGCGAAGGAACATGCTTGCAAGGAATGAAAGACACTGCCCAAGGGAGGGATGCACAAACGTTGTGCGATTCTTGTCAGCAGGCGGTGGAGCCAGCTCATGCCTGACACTTGAGGTGAGCCAGACAATTGTTGGATGGCAGCCTTCCCACCACTGCCGACCTGTTCGGCAGCCTCACTTACCCAAGGGAATGTGTTTCAGGCATGCTTGGTGCCAGAGCACACTGATGACCATGAAACTGTGGTAGAGATTGCAGGTTCAATAGCAATGGTGCAGTCCCGAATGCAAGAAATGGACTTATGTTGTGCAGGGTGACGAACCAAATTCGGGAAGTGAATGGCCTTCAGGCATACATGCCGATCATTGGCTTGAAGCGGCAAAGCCTGTGCTGTGTGGCGACAATATAGTGAAAAAAGCATATCATGGGAATGTACCTGAAGCAAGGAATGCAGCGATGTGGCCTTGATTCCTGCATCCTCCTGTCGTGAACGTCTCACAGCTCCTAAAGGAACTCACTGAGGTGCATGGTTGGCAACAATTGCTGGGCAGTTAGCTTCGATTAGATTGCCCCAATCCCACTAGCATCTCAATATCTCCACAGCCAATCTACAAATAGAGGCTTGCCATGGGTGGTTCAGGAACAATTGCCTTCCCAAGTTTGCACGCTGTGTCAATGCCCAACCTTTATACTTGAAGCAGTGCACAATGTTTTATTTGTTTGTACTGGGGTTGCCGGATCAATGCCTGTAGCTCAATGTCTGTTTAATGTGGAGACGTTTGGATCCATGTTGCTCCGTCCTTGGGCATACCCTCACCAGTGACGTTGTGGCTCTTGCACACAGTGTGCTTGTGGGCACCGATTCTGTCGTCTCTGCGGATGTGTTGAGCATTGGCCCGTTTCTTGTGAAGACTTTGCATCTTACTTCCGCCTCCAAGAAGAGATGTATGAAAATACACAAGACCTGCAGCAAGTAGGTACCTTACATCCCAAGAACTAGTGGAACTGCACAGTGTGACTGACACACCCCTTCTTATCCCCACTTGTTTCCCACTGACTGAATTTGACACCAGCAGTTGATCAACTCCTTGCAGCAACTGCTTTGCTGCTGGCTTTTGGCATTGTGATGTCAGCATCAAAGGGATGGATGCTTTCACCCTTGTTCTTTTTGTTTGACCTGTTAGGGAATGCACATGTGTATTGGAACCAGTTGATGAGATCAACGCTTCATCTGGATGACATCAGGCCATATACCTGTGCACAATGCAGTTGACATTGCTCAGAAAGTGGAACAAACTGGAATACTGAGAATTCGCAGAATGTTAACATCCTTCTGGAGAGGAGGGTATGAAACTACAGTTTGTGCTGATCAACAGCCAACCACAAGTCTGAGGACTTCTGAGTGACCCCTTCCTTAGTCAGATTTTCTTTGGGGCAAACCTTGTGATAGCACAAGTGCCATACCACTACCTCATCGCCAATGCATCGTTGGAGCACTGTGTTCATAACCTTTTCTTTCAATATTTCAGAGGCTGGATGCCACCACCAGGAAGCTCAGGGAGGTGCGCAACGAGCTGGCCAATCAGCCTGAGGCAGCTAGAGTCAGGCAACCTGTCCCGCCCTTTGCGCAGCCAGTTCTTGGGGCCCAAAGGGACAGGAATCAGAATCCGATCAGAGGAGGGTGTGCGGGGATAGGGGCTGGAAGAGGCTTTGGGAGAGGGCCTGGAAGAGGCTTTGGTGGAGGGCTTGGAAGAGGCTTTGGGAGAGGGGCCGGAAGAGGCAACGGTAGAGGTGCTGGAAGAGGTATTGTTAGGGGTACTGGCAGAACCATGGTGCAAGAGGTGGTGCAAAGACCAGGAAGAGGGCTGGAAGCAGGTGGAAGAGGATTGGCACAAGGAATGGTGCAAACTTGGCATGCTGGTGCGGGGCAGGAGCTTACCATTGAACTCGATGCAGCCCAGGAAGCTGCCAGGGCATTTATGGTGGATGCTGTTCCAGGTGGCTTTGGGACTGATCCACAGCAGGCTGAGGAGGAAGAAGGGGAGGGGATGGACATGGATGTGGTGCCACTAGGCAGGCATGAAGGGGCTGAGAACCAGGCAGTGCCTCCTAAGGGCTCTGAGCTACTGGGAGCCGAAGTTGCCAGTGCGGAAATTGGGCAAGTGCATGTTGATGCTGTTGAGAGGGCGGTGCCAGTGGTCGATCAGGAGGAGGAAATCCTGGGGATGGAGGTGATGGGAGTTGAAGATGAGGTGGATGCCCAGCATCAAGGAGGTGGCATGGAGCATCGTGACACACTTGTTGGCGATCAGGGCTCTGAACTTGCTCAGGGCGGACGCTTGGGGAGCAGTACACTCTTGCAGGGCAGCAACCACCAGGAGGATGTGCATCAAACAGAGGTGAGTGGCGTCTGCGATGCTGGCCGGCAGGGAGGGAGGCTGGATGTTTGGGGCCCCCTGGAAGTTCCAAAGCCCATCTGTTTGGCCTGGAAAGGGGGTGAAGGTGGGGAACTATGCAGTGTAGATGGCTTGCAACATCGCCAGGCTGTGGTGGATGATCAGAGTACAGTGGGCGTTTGGCATCCTGGAAAGTGGTGGGCCCAAGGATCCCCTCCGGTGGACAGGGCAGGAAACTGCCAGCACAGTTCGCATGGATGTACTAACCAGTGCCATGGTCAGGATTCTGGGCATGGACCCCAGGACCTTTGCGTTTCCACAGCTGGAGATGGGATTGGGGATGAACGACAGCTGCAGGGGCCTGTGGCAGACAGCTCAGACAAGAGGGTTGCAGTGAGAGATAATGAGGGAGGATCTCGGGCAAGTGATCTACGAAAAAGCAAGTCTAAATGTGGATCAGGGGCCTTGTGGCAAGGCCAGCCTGTCTCTCCAGACGCCAGCCTCCCCAAAAGCAGGAACGAGGTACGGATCAGGGAAACGTTGCAGCGCCATTACAGAGCCAACCGGCCTGAACCCTACCTTCCAGGACTGCATCTGCACGCGTTGACTGGAGTTTTCGCAGATGCCAGTTTTCCAAACGGTGATGTTGATGGTGGGAGCCTTTTGAGGCCTCTGGGCAGGGAAGGTCACGTCCATACACAACGGGGGTGGCAGAATGCCAGGCCAGAACAGAGTGACAATGGAATGCGAACGAAAAGGTCGCGTGCAGTGGCAGGACGCAGAGGCCAACCTGAAGGCATCGGTGGCTCGAAAAGTGGTAGAGACTCAGCATCAAGCCGGCAGCTAAAGGGCGCCAGAATTGAAGACTGCGAGCATTCTCCACTGCAGTTTTACCGCGGAGGCTCTGACGATGGCCTTGACAGATCGCCTCTGCCACCGCAGGGAGACGCCATTGGGAGGGAGGGCGATGCACAGGCACGTCCTACTGGAAAGAGACTTTCCAGGTCGCTGCACACTTCACATGATGTCTCCCCACAAGGGAAACAGCAGAAGACTGGCGACAGGAGGGGTCCCAAAAGAGTCGGTGTGGGCGGTTCTGTGCAAGTTGGGGACATGGGCTTGGTAGCATCTGATGTTGAGGAGGGCCAGCGCCGTTGTTCTAGGAACCAGGGTGAATCCCAGGGGTCTAGGATCCGCAAGAAGATCGCACAGTGGGTGGGATCAATTGGCTCTGGCCGGGGAAGGGACTCAGGCCCTTGGCTCATTGGCAAGGACGCATTCTTGCCTCAGAATGGCCAGGCGTCAAAAGACAGTGGAGCGTTGATAGGGGAAGATGTCACATCGGATGACGAGGGAAGTGATGCAGGAGCCCAGTGTGGCAAAGGGCCATTGGAGGGGAGATGGGCGGAAGGGCAGCTATATGCCAGTGACCCTGGTTGTGCACAGACCTCAGGGACTGGTTCGGGCTCGATTTTAGATCCAGCACAGCATCCTGGGGTGGAGGGGAGTGGTGGGAATTGCGCAGCTGGGGCTGCAGCCTGCCCTGGGGGGAAGATGCTTGACATGACAGGAAACCCACCTGTGGTTCTCGATGATGTGCGAGCCATGGATCTGAACAAGTGTACACAGCTGAGTCAGGATGATGACATGAGCATAGGGCACAGCTCTGGGGCCCTTATGCCATTGGAGAATTTGGAGCAGGATGCAGCCACAGGCATGACACTGGACAGTGCCCGCAACGTGCCAGTGCGCACACTGGGGCTGTCAGATGGGTCATCTTCTGGCGTGGATGCTGTGCCTGCTGTGGATAGAACTGGACCACCATGTCTACTAGGGCGGGCGTATGAGGGTAGGGGATATGCTGACCAGACAGGTGGTGGTGCAGGTGGCGATGCAGCACATGAAATGGAGAACGTGGGGTTGGGCGGAGGGGCACCGAGCGTAGTGGGGGAAGGGGGCAGGGAGGGCGAAGCAAGCAGGGACAATGGCCCACAGGACCCATCTGCTGCGCAGATGGAGGGGCACCTCCCACTGTCAAAGCCAGAGGGCAGGGAAGCAGATATGACAGGATCGGATGCAGAGGGGCCACCAAGCCACCGATCTTTGGGCCAAGATGCCTCTCAGGACAGCGCAGCAACAACAGTGCAGGAAGCTGGCAACTCTACAGAGGAGACATCGTACATTGCACGGTGGGTCCTTGTCTTTCGCATGTTGATTGGGTGTGTGTATTTGGCTGTTTTACTGCTGGAATGAAACGTATCTAAGAACCTTTTTAATGAACTGTGATGGCCACACTGCATACTAGGTAGCACAAAGGTGATGGACTGAGACTGCATGCCTGTTTCTGTGTTGTGTAGCCACACCAAGGATTGCCCCAGGTGCTTCAGCCTTTGTGAGAAAATCTTTGGCTGTGACCATGTGACATGCCCCCGTTGCCACCACCACTTCTGCTGGCGCTGCCGTGCAGACTGGAAACAGTCGGGGGGGTACCGCCATCTGGAGCGTTGCAGTGGAGAGAACAGGGTAGTGCCTACAAGACAGGAAGCAGAGAGGCAGTTCCACGAGTTCCTGAAGCAGGTGAGTGTTTTACAGGGCTTCTGGCGATCAGGACTATGGCCGTATGCCATTTGACACTGGGACGACCATCAATTGAGAGTCGGCTGCAGAGCACCTATGTTGATGTGCATGTATTGGGAAAGGACAAGAGATTGGCGATGTTGTGGATGTCAAGTATCCAGCTAGGTTGTCTGATTGCTTCTGCAGGATCTTTGGCACAGTCTTGTGCCTCAAATTCTTGCCTCTTCCATCAGAATACCTATTGTCATGTGCACAACTTTGCAAAAGCCAGCGACTGTCCCACAGAATAGAGGAAGATAGCACAGAGGGCTCCCCCAGCCCTCAAAGAGTCTGGTGTTGTGCACACAGGCCAAAGAATCCTGTTTCACAGAAATGGAGTTTTGGCTTGAATGGACTGTAATGCTGACAAACAGGCATATCTCTGTGGCTGTGTTGTTTCTGCATTGTGGGTATGCAGTGGCGAGCCACATGTCTGGCTACAGTAGGGGTGCCTATATTACGCCCCCGTTTTGGTTTGTCACCATTTCTGTAGTACTTTATGCGCCTGGCACCAAGAGCCAGTATGGACCCGGTAGGCCGGGTGTAGCTTACCCCTACACTGGCGGCCAAGGTACCCCCTTATACTGGCGGCGAAGGTACCCCCGTATACTGGCGGCGAAGGTACCCCCTATACAGGCAGCCTGGGTACCCGCTACATTGGCAGCTGGGGTACCCTCTACACCAGCGGCAATGGTACTCCCCACTCCGTGGGCCATGGTACACCTACGCTGGCAGCTTGGGCTACTCCCTACACCGGCGGCCAGGTTACCTTTTGCACCTTAACTCAATATTCCCCCAGCCCCCAACAGCAGCCCCCTTTTGGCCATGTCAAGGGGGGGCGGTATACAGGGACCCCTGCTGTACCAACAATTTGGCACGCATCCTGCTCCACCCTCTTGAGGAGTTGGGTTGAAGTTCAGCACAACATACTGCCAACTACTTTCCCTTTGCAGTAATGTCCTTCCATCCTACTCCTTGCCATCGCTCGCACCATTAAGATACTAACTTGTGATGGACAAGCTTACTGTGTCTTTGCTCGTTTAGTTCCTACAAGTATAGTTGAGTGCAACCCAGGTGTCCCATCAGCTACTTCTGACCAGCTTGAACGCTCTGTTGAAGCACGCTGCCCATTCTGAATTCAATGCGTGTGGCTTGCGGACTGCCCACCTCATTTGGTTGTGCTGCGCTGAGCATCCTATTCCTCCCCAGACAGCAACACACCTGTTTGGCCTTGCTAGATCTAAGACTGGTACCTGTCTGTGGCCTTGCCTTGTCCAGCATGATGCTGTGGCTGTCACCCTGGTGTCCAAAGAGCAGTTTGTTCGTGACTGGATGCGGCGTGAGACCGAGATGAGGACGAAATTCCAGTACCAGGGCCCCTGGGCTGAGTACCAGGGGGGGCTGGAGTGGGATGGTCTGCTGGACGAGCGGATTGAGGTGGTGGAGGCACGGGTGCAGCGGCAGCAGGAGGAGGAGGCAAGGCTGCAGGACAGAGTGGCTGAACAGACGCAGCAGCTGGAGTGGAGGCAGAGGTATCACGTCAGCAGAGCACTGCAGGTGGGGCTCCTGAGACATTGGTTTTTGATGTTGACCGTGAGCATTCACATGGCAACAAGATCCTGTGATCGCCAGGGTGCTTCAGGCTCACAGAAGGGGGCCGCGATCTTTCTATGATTTTGCAGCTGTTGATGAGGATCTTGATGGGGATATGTACCCCTTCACGCATTGACACCCCCTGTGGGGAAGAGAAAAAAGCAGAACATATGATGACACTTTTGATGGCAGCGTTCAGAACAGCGTGTTTGTGCATTTTCCTGACAGTGTGCAGTGGTGCCCACGAATTTATCCACATAAACAGCATTCAGAGGTAAATGCTAGTGCTTGTGTAGTGCTCTTCTGCACTAAATCTGATAAAGTAGGCCCTGTACTCTCCACAGAAGCCGCCCCCACCACCACACTCTCCACACCTCACTTGGAAATCCCTTGAGGTGGGCTGTGCCTTATGGCAACGCCGGGCATGTGTCAAGTAAAGCTGGAGGCCTCGAAGCAGGCTAGCCAAATGAGGATGGCAGCGGATCCATCGTCACCTCAACTGCAGCATGCCCAAGTTGCCCTCCAGTTCTCTTCGTTTGTTCTAACAGCAGAATGCACAACCCAAATCCTGCTGACAGAGAACAGCAAACTTGTTTGTTGGCGTGTGTCTACAGTTTGACATGCATTGCCTTGCATCAGAGACTGGTTTTTGCGCTTTGCATCCACAGGAGAAGGAACGTGGCCTGAGAGGGCTGCCAATCACTGAAACTGATGGAGTGAGGCAACTCTCACATCAAGAATTCGCTGCTTATCAGCAGATAATCGCACAGGGCCAGAGTGTGGATCGCGCAGTGAGAATTCTGAAGGTGACTGCCATGACATCGGGGATGACCACCGATGCACGCTGCTTGCAGGCCCTCATATCCATTGTGTTGTTGACATTTTGTGGCTTGCTGGGCACTGCATCACCCACTACCTGAACCTCAGATGTGTCAGGGCTTGGGTTTGCTTTGGCGTGCTTTCAGTGTTTCTCAGTTTGTGAGGGGCCTCAGGACAGGAATGGATGCAAGGGATGAGTAGTGGATGTGTGGGGATGAGCATCACTCACAGTCCAAAGATTTCCTGCTGTTGCAGTCCCGTTAATTGCATCACCTCCTCAGGCCCTGACACATTTGTTCTGTAGTGATAGGTCACATTGCATTTTGGTCAATGCTGCACCTGGCCTCAAATCGCATTGGCACAGGAAAAAGCTGTAGTGCTGTATGTGCATCATTTGGGCAAGAAGGTCACTAGCTGCCTGCATTATGTGTCAGGCTTTTGGCTCCATCGCACCGCCATGCCCCAGCATGAAAGTGCTGATCATGCACACAACTATGGGGCATCTACCCTTGTGGTTTCGTTTCCAATGCCGTGGGCTTTGTTGCGTCACTGGCGCTGATGCTGAATCAGGGAGTTGATGGGAGTCATGCACCGAAAAACCTGCAGTAATGATTGAATAACAGACTGGCCCGTCTGGCCCCAGGGCTGGCTTCAATACGATTCCTCCTTAAGAGGGAGCTGGGTGTGCAGTGTTGGATTCTGGCAGTGCTAGATTTCACTGAATCACCTGCCAAATTGGCTGTTGTGCGGGTTGCTAAAATGCTGACGTGGCAATGCATCGGCTTCAAAAGTGTTTTGAGTTGCAAGAAAATCTGTGGTTTCGTGCAACCTCCACCCTATTGGTCTGGACGACAAAGAAGGCCTTTCCTGGGCAACATTGTCAACAACGTGCAATGCCACGATTTGCTCCGCACACCCTTGGTGGTCAAATTGCACCCTGTTCTGTTTTGGACGTATGCAGTGAAGGTAGGCATCAGGCAACATTCAGTGGGTGTGGAGGGCTTAGCAAACTCGCTGTTGTTTTGCTGTTTGCCAGTGGCATATGTGTGTAAAAGGTTGTTGTGGCTGCACCTGCAGGACATCAAGGCTCATACCAATGAGCTGCAGCCATTGTCGGAGGGCTACTGCAATCTTGCGCAGGTGTTGCTTTCATGTGAGCGTACGCGTTGGGCGTGTCTGCTTGACAGCTTCTTCAACAAAGGCCGCCGGCTGACCAAGATGGTGGAGTTCTGTGTTGGAGAGCTTGAGCATGTCAAGGAAGTGTATCTGACGCTCGAGGCAGTAAGCCCACCAAGCATTTGACCTGTTGACCCAGTCGATTCCTTGCCTTTTTGAATGACTGTGACAGCTTGTTAATTTGGCAGGGCATGTGCCAGTGCTCACCAATTGTTGAACTGGTCCCGAGGACATCAGCAGCAGTGTAGATGGACACTGGAATGGGTGCTACTTTTTTGTGGATATTGGTTCACTCTCTGCTAAACTTGGGATGTTGTACAGAGCAATGACTGCGACTGTGCTGTTCCTGCTGCCAAGAGGTGTATTGTAGATTTCATATTGATTATTGTTCTGAAATCAACTGCTGCCTTGGGCAGATGCAGCTCATGGCCAACCCAGCACAGTGAACTGTGTGTTGTGGCTGCATGCGTTGTCTGCCAGAAAACTATTCTCTGGATGACATTCTTGCTCACCTCCAATCCCTTTAGAACACTATTTGTGCATACCTTGTAGCTCTTACAGGCAAGAAGAACAGCAGGCTCAGCATCATGTTGAAAGTGCATGAAACAACCATGCCCCCCAAAAATGCCTGACTGGTTCCCATGCACCAGTCACTGTTGGTCCATGTGGCCTCTTCATCTTTTGCCTTGAACTGCTGCATCAACCTCATGGTGCAGAGAAGAAAACGTGCTTCAGTTGGAAAGGCAATATCCTGTACAATGCGATATTTTCAGCTGGTTGGGGATAGCGTCGTCAGTCGACTTCCCTGTTGGATGCTGGGAAAGCTCAAAGAAGGTGCTGTGACTTATGCAGGTGATAACGCCCTTGAGGGAGAGCGATGAGGGGTCTTCCTCGTCCTCTGGCTCTGCCAGCACCTCTGGCCCGCACCACCGCTATTCTTTGGGGTCCCTTGCCAACCAGGCGGAATACTACAGCCGCAAGCGTGACAACTTCATCTTAGCTTGGGAGGCACAGATGGAACTGCCAGGTGAGTTTGCAGCCAAAGTTGCAAAAGTTGAGGCTCTATGCTGTGCAGGCACTGGCAGCTTTGTGGTGGACTGCATCGAGCCCCGATTTTGTTCATTGAGTTGGGCGTCTAGTGCAGTCTACCCACACTAGCTACCTGGGCACTGTCCGTGGGTGTAATTTGCAGGCCAACCCTCGACATGAAAGCATCTTTGGAAATGTTTTAGCATGCATCTGATCAGCACGCTGCCGCGACGCTGCCGAGGTTCCTGAGGGTGATGCGCCTGTGGCTAACCTCGCCGTGCTCGCATGTCCTTCCTTCACATACTGCAGTCTCAAAGTGTGCACACTTGCGAGATGTGCACAAAGATTGCAAAATAGCTCCTCATTGTAGCAATTGTCCGCTTCCCTTTGTCGGTACGCCAATGGCCTAAATTCCGTCGTCTATCGCGTCGAGAGAAATCGGCAAACCAGTGCCCACGCCTTCAAACGACGCGGGTCGTTTCATCCACGGTATCACTATGCCTGGCCGTGTTCACAAACGACCCACTGCCATAACGGTCTGCTGTTCAGGTGCTGAAGACACTTCAAACTGATGGCACGGCACTGCCATTTGTGGAGGCGGGAATAGACGTCCGTGATCTGATGCTATCTGCTGACAGATTGTTGTAAGCTCGATGGCCTATCCCCAAGCTGGCAAGCCCACCCCGGCCAAGGGGAACCCTGGGCAGCGGTTGTGTTCTTGGGCCGATGGGAGGTGGTTGGGATAGGTGGGTTTGCCCGTGGTGAACTGGAGATTTTATAGGCCACCTGGCAGGGACGCAGTGTCCATCCTCATCAGTGCTTGGTTCAAGGGCCTGGTCAGAGAGGTTTGCCGCACGGGGGTTCGCCAGTTGATCAGTTGGATGTTGACGGTGGAGCGGTGTGGCCCGTTTTGGATCCCGGAGAGTGGGCATGATTTTTTGTGGGGGCGGGGGCGGGGGCGTGGAGGTACTCACTGCGTTGTAATTGATGTGGGAACCTGCAGGGTGACGAAATGACAAAGATGCCAAGGGGGCGTCCGTAAAGTACGTGGGCTCCTCTGGTGCGCTGGTCATCACAGACTGACGAAATCCGAAATTCCGAAATTTTGCAGTAATGCCTGCAACAGCATCCCGGGCATACTCGTCTATTACACGAACGTCGTAATTCTGAACAATACCTTCGCCGAGGAATCGCGGTGGAATCAAAGGTCGCCTCACACATCAGATGACGCCGTGGGTGAATAAACAGAATTGGATGTGTTGGTAAATTGCTCCTGCCGTCGCCCTGCAGTTGACTTACCGTAGTTACAATGAGCGGCGGATACTAGTGGTGGGTCATGGATACCAGTGCGGTTTAGCCCCCTGATCCAAGGAGTAGATAAATTGTTGAAAATTAAGCCGCGAAATGCCCCAAAACGGCTTGAAATAACGCAAAATGCAGTGCATAGAAATGCATGTTGGTGACAGGCCATGCTGTGTGCATTTGAAATGGTGGAATGCACTTTGCAATCGCTGACGGGAGCCAGCGCAGCTGCCACGGAGATGTGCACTATGGTAAGAACCGTGACGGGAACAGGCCGTGCCAGCATGTCTGTGGACGACTCCAGGCCTGTCCCTCTGCCATGGACGCATGGCTTGCCGTCGCCCAACAAGCAAACAGCCTCTTTCCCATCAACCAGACTAGACTCTCAAGCTGTGAATCTTGCAGCCATCACATGCATCGCATCAGCACTACATCCTGTAGTGCTGTGTAGAGTTGTTTGCGGCAGTTGTGAGTGCTGTGCAAGCAAGGACATGCCGACTGGCTTCCTCTCCTCAGGGCGGCTCCAACGGACCCTCTTGAGCTCGTTTCCGTTGAGGTTGGGGGTGGATATTAACACCGGGTCATGGGCGCCAGCGTGGTTTCGACTCCCCGAGAGGGGGCTGGATACTAATAGGGTGGGGACACTAGTACCGGGCAAATATCGTATCTGATTTGGTCGAGATTGGCGCAATCAGAAGAATCCCGCCATTCGAACCATGCATGTGCTTCAGTTGGGGCCTCAGGGGAGCAGTCCTCAGCAGCCCACTCCCTGAAACCTCAATCAAGCATGAGCGGCCAGGGTGGCGGCCAACATTGCGGCAGAGATGCATCAGACACTCTGGCACAGGGGTACCACGAAATTGCAGAACGTAGGAAGTGTATGAAAGAACCTTGAAAGTAGCCTAGAAAGAGAATATCTGTGCACTGGAGGGCGGCTGGCTTGCCCGCCTTCACCAACTCAAATGATTGATTTGACAGACAGCCACAACCAAGTGCTGCAGTCTCGCCCAACGTGTCAATTGTGCCAGACCCGAGCCCAAGATGTCATCAGCACAAAGATCCAGGGAACCAAGCTTCGCGGCGATTCCCATTCGAGCCGACCACATATCCGCGGCATTTGAGCCAAACGCAATTGCACCATGCCTGTTGCATTTCCCAGCCGCATCAGACGATCGTCACGGATGGCGGTGAAACTGCTCTGATTCAATGGCGTCGGGCCGTTCAATCTCTTCACTGAAGCCAGAGTTCATCTGGACGCTTCCGAACCCAATAGATCCAACTGTTGAAGCAACGTCTGGCTCTCAATCTGGACTAGCACGGACTGTGACTCCCACTCTTCCAAATTCACTACGGAAGTCAACCTGCCGCACCAGTCACTCTCCAGAGTCCCTCAGAGTGCCAGACTCTGAGGTGAGGGGCTCTGGGATGTGAGACACTGTCACATGCCGCCAAACGATATCCACTGTGGCCAGGTGTGTGATATATCTGAACGTCAGGCGATCCTAAACCTTCAAAGTCTTCAACCGACCAAAATATGCCAGTGTGCCTCGCCATCTTGTGGCATTTCGACAACTTCAAACGTCGAAGTGAGGTCAGTTTGGGCAGGGAGAATAAGGACATGCATGTGGATGACGCGCCATTAACCGTTTCCCACTCAGCGCCCCCAACAGTCGATATTGCCTCCAGCCGTGTGACGCATGCAGGGAGCTTAACATTGCGTAAGCATATCATTGTTTCGGCCTCTGATCTGACCTCCAAAAGCGCGCGCGCCATTGAGGTGGATCCACATCGACACTTTTTTTCCAGACATGCCGCCAACTACAGCACGCTATTGCTGCTACTGTCCACCTCCCTTTGTCGGATTCCGACGCAGACCTCTAATCTCTTGAATTCGCCTCGGGGCGAGTTTCCCGCAATCGGCGACCCACCACGTCGGATGTGGGCTCCATATCCTGGGGGATGCCATTTCCTCAATGTGTGTATCCGGGATATGCAACTTTTGCCGGGGCGTGACTCTGGAATGAGCAAAACTTTGCAGTAGAAACGCCAGAATGAAGCTCATGACTTAAAGGCTGATGTCGTGCGCGGGGAACGGAGCAAAGTGGCGGGGCAAAGCACCAGGCCATGAGCTGCTTTCAGCCATCGCGGCATACTGCAAAGTGCGCCAAGGTTCCACCGGAGCGCCGATCAACAATCTCTGTCGCTGCATAATGTAAGAAACATAGAAAATGCTATGTGCCATGCGCGCCTGTCGGGCGATGCGAGAGGGTCTTGAAGGGAGCAGGATGTTTGTGCCGCATTAACTAGGATACGGACACACCGCTGTCACGACGACGCAGACGGAACGTGGCTATGTTGCATGGCCCATGCCAAGCAGCTCGTGAAACTCGAATAACTGCCATCCCGGGCGCCGGTGCACATTTCATTTTGTTGTGTGCACTCCATGGGTGCTGCTGTGTGGAGGCCGCATGGTCGCGCAGAACGCGGTCCAGGTGCTCTTATCGGCGCACGTTCACTGCAGCCTTCAAGGCAGACTCTTGTGCGCAGATTGGGGACGCTCGTGTCACTTCAAGCCCTTTCCTCAATTGTTCATTGCCAAAGGACAAGCCCTGGGCGAGATGGACATGGGGAGGTCACAGAGGCCAGGGCGCGGTCGCCCTCGCCCCATGCCGCTCTCCACCACCCACCTTTTCGGTGAGCACGCTCCGAGTCGGAGGGCATACAATTACTGGTTGCACCAAATCGGTGACTTTCTGCACTAAATCGGTGACTGCTTGCACCAACTCCCTCCCAAATTACCTAATCTAAAACCTAAACCCTAAACCCTAAAACTAAACCTGCCCTAAACCTAAGCCTAAACCTAAAACTCACCCTAAAACTACACCTAACCCTAAAACTGAGGCTAGGACATAGCTATGTCCTACAGTGTTCACGTGATTTGGTGCAAGCAGTCACCGATTTGATGCAGGCAGTAACATTATTTCGAGTCGGAGCAGGGGTGGCCTGAAGCCGGTCCGTAAGCATGACCAGGCCTGGTTTTTACGTTTACGTTTACGTTTTTACTTTAACGTTTTCACGCGCAAAAACGTAAATTTGCAAAATGCCCTATTTTTACGGCTACTTTTACGTTTTTACGGCTCCCTGGGACACCCAGATTACGCGATAAAAGTTGGGTACAATGATCAGTCCTCTGCCATATTCAGAACCCACAACACCGTGCCCACCTCGCCCTTGGAAAGGGCGGTGATGTTGTTTGACAAAAACTCGTTTTCTGCCCCTCTCGAGGCGTCTGGCTGCCACTCTCTGGATTCTGCAAGTCTGTATGTACTGTCCTTATGTACACCGGGCAGTTTTTACGTTGTATTTACGTAGTTTTACGCATTTTTACGCATAAAAACGTAAAAACAGTTCTTATGCGTAAAAACGTAAATACGATCAGTTTTTACGGCGTAAAAACCAAGCCTGAGCATGATCGATCCGCCAACCTTCAACATCAGACTTTGTTCAACGTTGCAGCGGCTTGATCGATGCTGACCCGACATCGGCCGCTGTGGAACACCAGTTGTTGCACCTGCACCGCACACGGCCAGATCCTCCCCCCTTGAGGACTTCGGCACTACAGTCTGCGGCGCAGTGCCCTTTGGCTGTGGTGGGAGGCACCATCGTTTGGGGTTTCCCAAAGGGGCGCGTGCTCGCCAGCCGCGTGGCTGCCTAATCCTTCCCAATCGCGCGTCGGACGACGGGCCGGCTGTGCAGTGGGTCACACACTTTTTGACAAAGGGAACGCCGTCCGATGTACAGGCTGCCATGCTGTGGCACCGCGGACG